CCTTCTCCTTCTCCTTCTTCTTCTTCTTCTTCTTCTTCTTCTTCTTCTTCTTCTTCTTCTTCTTCTTCTTCTTCTTCTTCTTCTTCTTCTTCTTCTTCTCCTTCTCCTTATCCTTCTTCTCCTTCTCCTTCTCCTTCTCCTCCTCCTCCTCCTCCTCCTCCTTCTCTTCCTCCTTCCCTTTCCCTTTCACCTTCCACTTCTCCTTTCCTCTTCCTCTTCCTCCTCCTCCTCCTCCTCCTCCTCCTCCTCCTCCTTCTTTTTATTTGTATGTCAGGGATCCAGGCCAGAGTCATATGCATGTTTGGCAAGCACTTATCTACTGTCTTTAATGCTTCTCAGGGAGGTGATGAATATCTTGACCAGTAATTGTAACCCATTAAAATGTTTTATGATTATATATGAGATTATTTGCTATAATTAAAACAATGAGTAGGTGGTTATTGTATTTTTTTTCTTGCCTGCAGATACCTATGAAAATGGAAACTACTTCCTGGCCGACTTTATAGCAGCTCAGGTAAGATTATTGAGTTTTATAAATGCTTTTCCAGTTAGCTAAAGATTATACATTCATATAGTTGAACTATATAGCTATAGTATCTTTCATCTTAATGGAAGGTCCTTCCTGCCTTTACTTCTCTAATTCAGGTTTGTTGACACTAAAGTAAGGAAGAAACAGTCTTATTTTGACAATTATCCAATATACCATTACTCTGGGGTGGGGGTGGGGGAAGAACAGAAAAGAAAAGAGAAAAGAAAAGAAACAACTTTCTGGGGCAAAATATACCCTTAAATTTATGACATGTTTCCAGGGATGAGAATTTTTCTGGATGATAAAACTTTGAAGTGCAAATGTTATATTAAACTGTGCAACATGCAGCAGTGCTGGATAACACACAGTCTCAAACCTTGGTGGTATGCAAGCAATAATAAACATTTAGATTCTGAGTTTGCAGATGGTCTGAGAGCGATCTCTCTCATCTTGACTGGTTCTCATGCATCAGGTGTGAGCCTCAGTCTGTTAGTCTGCTTGAATTGTCTTGATGTTACTAACTCACATATGTATTTGATGGGTTAAGAATGATCTAAAATGAAATTATAGGAAGGTCTGAGCATGACTTTTTCATGATTATTGAAGAGAGCAAAAGTAGAAGTGGAAACACCGGGATAATTTTAAAAATCACTTCTTCCATCAAGTTGCCTAATTTCCCATTAGCAAAGTAAAATTGTAGGGCCAATCCCAGAGGCAGAGCAAGAACAGAACAACTCATTTAGAACATAAAAATTACACAGAAAAAGGATATGAATAGAGAAAAACAAATAACTGAAGACTACAATGCAACCAATATACTTTGCATGTTAAATTAATCCACAGAGAATTTATAAATCTAATAAGAAAAGTAGGAGGATCATTCTCTGTCAAACCTGGGATCTTTTTGTGTTTAACTTTTTACCTATTGACTTGAAATAAGAACTATTGCAGCACAAATCATATTTTTTCTTTTCTGCAGTGATGCTTCAAATATTTGAAGATATCTGTTACATATCTTTTGTCTTCTCTTTTTAGAATTATCCATCTCCTGGCTAACTTTGCTGTTTTGCACATGTACTGGTTTCTAGCTATGATCACTCTATTTGGACTCCACTTAATATAGATTTATAGCCTAAAACATAGTGCCCGGTGTTGATATCATAATTTATATCTTCACTATCCAATATGCCACTCACAGGCCACAGTTGGCTATTGAGCTCTTATGAGTATGATTATCATATTTCAAAATACCCAAATGGTTACTTTGAAAAAAGATTATAAAATACCACATGCTGATTTTTATATTTAACACACTGAAATAACATTTTAGAATTTTGGCTAAATGCAAAATAAGTTTAAATTAATTTCTTCTGCTTCCTTTCCTTTTTAAAAATATGTTTACTAGAAAATTTTCAACTGAGAACACAGTTTGTATTGTATTCCTACCTGAACTTTCATATTGTCTACACTATTTTTTAGCACAACTCTGTTATTTTTTACAGGTGTTACACAGCATTTTTACATGCATATATCAGATGTTTGGGACATATAAGTTGCATACTCAGCTAAGACTTTCAAATCATTTTCATAGACATGAGCACTATGCTGCTGAACTATATCCCTGGCCCTCAAATTACTGGGGGCTAATAATGAAACTATTGATCCATAAGTCTGGAGCTTTGTTCTATTTTTACTAACTACTCAATTTAGGAAAGATACTTTCTTGCTTAATGTATTTCGCTATTATAAAACATTACATTATTCTTAAATATTTTCTGACCTAAAATTCCATTGTTTTCATTATTCCAAGTAAGTGACAAATGTATCATTACTTCTGTGATATTTGATGAATTTTTTTTTCCTCTGAAGATCGAGGACCTGAAATGAAAGAAAGCTTTCAACTGTCTGTGGGGTTATTCTCAATATTGCCCTGGTTGATTATCCAGCTTGTGAGGATAGGAACTGATCTGCAGCATTTGCTCTTTTGTGTAGTGTAAAGACTTACCCCATCTTTTCCAGTTTTGGGTTATTAAGCAGCTTGCAAAATTCCAGAAAATTTATCAATCAGCTACTAAATCAGTAAGAATTAGCCCTAGTGTACCTATGTGTTTAAAGTTATATTCCTTAATCTTGATTTTCCCTTGATCTGCCTGTTCAATCAGCCAAAAAAAGTCCTGTTAATTCTTTAGAAATACCAGGTGAACTTGTTGCTTTTTCTACTGATAATACTAGAGTTGAGATATTTGTAACTCTCCCCTACTGGGATGATCTCTGTTTTGTTGAGTAGATTCTTGACTCACCAGCTACAGTAGCCCTGGTACTCACTCAGAGTGAGCCTTGGATAACCGTGTCCCTGCACCACTCCCTGTCTCATTCATGTTACCTTTATAAATCCTACCCATCCTCTTGGGACTTCTGAATTTCTGTGTCCTTATTAAATCCTCCCTTGTCTACTGTACTCCCACAGTGATTTTTTTCTTTCTCTTTAAAGCACAACAAATTTCTCTCTGAATTTCACTTGGCCTGTGAGGGATATCTCATGATTTGTCTCTTAATTATTATAACCTTTGAGTTGAAACTTGAACTGTTCATAATTTATAGAAGTTCCTATATTTCTGTGAACTGTTCTTATCTAAGGTCTGGTCTCATACTCTTTTTGTCACTCTGTATTAAATGGGATAGTGCACATACGTGTGTCATGATTCCACCCTATCTGTGTCCTTTAGCTCTGTGGCCTTAAACTTCTTTATCTTCTAGAGCTGTGGTTTCCTTACCTGTGAAGCAGACACAATATCACTGTCTTTTCAAAATTGCTGTAAAAATTAGTAATAAGTGAACACAAAATGGTTTTTATAATGCTGGTACTGAAACCTATTGTTGACATCATCAAAATTATTGTAGCAGATACTCAGAAAGTAAATTTTCATAAAGTATTTAATTAAAATTTAAAATGAAATTAAAAATGAAAACAGAGCCAGGTATGGTGGTGCATATTTCCAGTCTCTAGGAGTTGAGAGAGGAAGATTGAAAATTTGAGCCCAGTCTGGAAAACTTAACAACCTGGCAAGACTCTGTCTCAAACTTTAAAAAAGAAAAGGGGCTGAGATTATATCTCAGTATAACAACCTTATTGCAAAAAAAGGAAGAAAGAAAGGACAGAAAGAAAGAAAGAAAGAAAGAAAGAAAGAAAGAAAGAAAGAAAGAACCAGTACTACAAAAGTATTTGATATTACTACACTTTAATGTGGAATATAGTCTATTTAAAATGTACTATACTTTGTCTCTTTACAAAAACTTCAGAATACCTTGCAAGTCCACGTCATACACAATAACTATTTAAGTGACTCAAATCCTCTGAAAGTTGGATATATTAAAGTTTGGGGTGTGAACTCTACGTACGTGACACAAGTCATTTTCACCTATGACAATCAACAATTCATAGAGACCAACTTGAAGAGTGACCCTTCCAATCAGGTATGGCTGAGCAGAATACCACTGATACAAGATGCCTGGGGGAACTTGTTTTAGTGATAATGAAAATTAAACTGAAGCAACAGCATGAATTTACAGGCAAAAGCCTTGAGAAGGAAGAGGAAACTGGGAAGGGGCTTCAGCTTGAAGGAAGAATAGCTGAAGGGGACACATTCCTGATGCAGTGGATTGGATTGGCCCACTAACAAAAGAAGGGGTCTAGCTTTTATGGCTTCACTAGGGTAGGTGAGCGGCTTAGTAACTTTCCACTGGTATATCACAAGTATGGCATTTTTGGTAACTTTTTCTCATGTGTTAGGGGCTTTTCTCCTATTTTAAAATGATATGAATCAATAGTTATTTGGCTGTTTTGTCCTGGGAGTTATCATGGTGCCTGTCCAAAGTTACATCATACATGGTCCTTGCAGTAAGAGTAGGGGGTAAGGGAACAGCATATTTGATAACTGACAACAAGGGAGGATTGGAAAAAAGAGATGTCTCTGCTTTAGTGACTAACATGTCATTGGCCAACATTGGGGCACCTAAGTCTCCTGTCCCATAAGCATACCTATCTTAGTTAACTATCATAAGATAATTTAGTGTTCTGCAAGATTGTCACCACTATTATCATTATTGGATATACACATATTAGGAAGATTACCAAAGCATTGAGCAATTATGCTCCTTAAAATGTTATAGAATGCACAACATTGGTGATATTTCTACTATATCCAGGCACCAATGATCAGTTGTTGTCTTGGTTACTTTTCTCTCACTGCTGGGACAAAATACCTGACTCCCAAAATTAAGGAAGGAAAGGTTTATTTAGCTCATAGTTTGTGGAGGTTTCAGTCTGTACTTGGCTGGCTACAAGGCAAGGTGGCACATGGCAGAGGGCAACAGTTCACGGCTGCAGAAGACAGCAAAAGCAGCAAGAGCGCAAGGGGAGGAGCAAGCAGTCTCTTTCCCTTCCTTACATTATATGCAAACTACCTGCCCCAGGGAGGGTGTAGCACTCACACCCATGGATCAGTCATAAACTCTAGAAGCCTGCCCAATGACTGCATGAAGCTTTGGGGGCACATCCAGACACAAACCATAACAGTTGTCTATAAAACCCTCTCCATGTGTTCACTAAGGAAATTGTGCTATATTTGAACAGATTGGTTTCCTGGGCTATATAACAAATTGTATTTTTTTCACTCAAAATCCAAAGCTAGGAAAGTGTGATTCCCTTCACTTACTGAAGGATTCCCCTTCTTTTGTGCAGCATTCATACCCATATTCAAATTGATAGATCTTCTCAGTTGAAAATTGGCATTAAACTGTGGTGATCATCAAGTGAATATATCCTATCTGTAGCATAAGATTCACTTAGTCGGTTAAAATACTGTGACATAGACAGAAGACTCTATTTGAGCATCAGCACTTGTTGCTTTTTTTGGCCTAAATGCAAGTAAACTGGCATTTTAGAAGAGGAAGTACAAAAGGCAAACACAAAGGAAAAAATATTCTACTTTAGAAAATAAAGCTAATTATCACTGTGGATTTAGTAACCCATAGGGAATAGCTTAGAAAAGTGAACAATGGATAACTATAGTTTTTGTTTCTAAAAGGTGAAAAAGGTACCTTGCTGATATTTGAATTTTAGAAAATGACCTAAATAAATCCTTCCTCTATAGTTTCCTGTAATTATAGCTGTTTTACTGGAATATTGAGGTCAAAACCACTTTTTGCAAGTAACTGCTTCTAATTAAGAACAATGCAGAAAAATCCGAGTGGCTTCTCTTCGAAAAAAAGTCTCCATGGGACCCCAGGGGTCTCTTATGGACCAGGCACTATGGTATGAAGTGTTGATGGTCATAAAAGAAAACCAGCCAGCTGTCAGGAAGGTCAAAATCCAATGGCAAAGAAAACAGATTTTAATAAACACAAGCCTTAGTCACAACTGAAAATCTTTTAACAATGCACTTCTGAATACAGTGGTGACAAAGATTTCTAGAATAAGGCTATGCACAAAGAAGATCTCTCCAAATTAGTAATCTGTGGGACCTGTAAAAACACATTTATATGCTATTGTTCTCGAGAAAAATGAATACTTTTTCTTTTAGTAAATTGCAATTTGAAGTGTGAATTAAAAATAATGTTTAAGAAGTTTTAATATTACATCATTATCTTTTTTTTCCTGGTAGACACTAATTATCCAATTAACTGACAAGAATATCAACCTGGAAAAATTAACTGAGGTTATTTGGACTCATGATGATCCTGTAGTTACCACTTCAACTATGACAAGTGCCAGCCCCAGGAGTACCCACCCACCTCCATCTACTACTGAGGCCACCAGTGCTGAGACTATCACTAGTTCCAGTAGTGCAAACGCTGCTGGAGTAGTGAGCACTACTGTCACTGTTCCAATCACAAGCACACCTTCTGCAAGTTCTACTCAGGTTGCCACTACTCCTACTGTTCCCGATACAACCACTCTATCCCCTCCATGTACTACTACCACAACAGCTACTGCCACTGTCCCTGTCACATCCACACATTATACACCAAGTGCTACTTACATTACAACGGGGACCACTGCTCCTCATACCACTACTTCTTTCACTGAAAGTACTATTACCACGAACAGTATCATTTCCCCCATCAAAACCACAAATTATGCAACAAGTGCTATTGGTACTACAACTACTGGTATTATACCTCCTGATACAAATACTCCTTTTCATAGTACTGAAAACACTAGTACCACAGTTCCTATGAGCACCACTTCTTTCCCAAAAAGTACTATAGATGCCACCACTAGTATTTCTGCCCCTCATACAACTACTTCTCCCCCTGCTGCTGTGAGCACCAGTGCTACTATGCTCTTCACCACCAGTCCTTTCCTGATAACTACTACTAGTATAACCACCCATACTACAGACCCTGATATTACGTCTTTTCCCACCTCTTTCACCACGAGCACTACTGCTCTTGTTGGTACCATGCCTTCCCCAGCAAATACTACCAACGTCACCACTAGTACTACTACCCCTGATACTACTCCTTTCCCCACTCCTGTGAGCACTAGTGCTACTGTTCTGGTCAGTACCATTCCTTCCCAAACAAATACTACCAGTGTCACCACTAGTATCACTGCCCCTGATACTACTGCTTTGCCCACTCCTGTGAGCACTCGTGCTACTGTTCCTGCCAGCACCATTCCTTTACCAACAAATTCTACCAACGTCACCACTAGTACTACTGTCCCGGATACTACTCCTTTCCGCACTCCTGTGAGCACTAGTGCTACTGTTCCTGTCAGCACCGTTCCTTCCCAAACAAATACCACCAATGTCACCACTAGTACTACTGCCCCTGATACTAGTCCTTTCCCCACTCCTGTGAGCACCAGTGCTACTGGTCCTGTTAGCACCTTTCCTTCCACAACAAATACCACCAATGTCACCACTAGCACTACTGCCCCTGATACTAGTCCTTTCCCCACTCTTGTGAGCACCAGTGCTACTGGTCCTGTTAGCACCTTTCCTTCCACAACAAATACCACCAATGTCACCACTAGCACTACTGCCCCTGGTACTACTCCTTTCTTCACTCCTGTGAGCACTAGTGCTACTGTTCCTGTCAGCACCAGTCCTTCCCAAACAAATACTACCAACGTCACCACTAGTACTGCTACCCTTGATGCTACTCCTTTTCCCACTCCTGTGAGTACCAGTGCTACTGTTCTTGCCAGCACCATTCCTTTCCCAACAAATACTACCAATGTCACCACTAGTACTACTGCCCCGGATACTACTCCTTTCTCCACTCCTGTGAGCACCAGTACTACTATTCCTGTCAGCACCATTCCCTTCCCAGTAAATACCACCAGTGTCACTACTAGTATTACTGCCCCTGGTACGACTCCTGCTCTTACTCCTGTGGACACTAGTGCTACTGTTCCTGTCAGCACCAGTCCTTCCCCAACAAATACTGCCATTGTCACCACTAATACTACTACCCCTGATACTACTCTTTTCCTCACTCCTGTGAGCACCAATGTTACTGTTCCTGTCAGCACCATTCCTTCCCCAACAAATACTACCGACGTCACCACTAGTACTACTACCCCTGATACTACTCCTTTCTCCACTCTTGTGAGCACTAGTGCTACTGTTCCTGTCAGCACCAGTCCTTCCCCAACAAATACTACCAGTGTCACCAATAGTACTACTGCCCCTGATACTACTACTTTCCCCACTCCTGTGAGCACCAGTGCTACTGGTCCTGTCAGCACCAGTCCTTTCCTAACATATACCACCAATGTCACCACTAGCACTACTGCC